CCTCCTCCTCCTGCCCTTCCCCATCTGCGACGACCTGGCTCCCTGCCGCCTGAACGCACCTCTGGGTCTGTGCAAGAACGACCCTGGCCGCCTAGCATTTTCACAACAATGCAGAAACGCAGGATCTGTGATATGTGCTGGTTGATGCTTTTGGCACTCCGACGGCCGTCCGCAGGGTACTTTTAAAATGCGATGTTCCCCAGCCCTCCCTTCCATCATCTTCCCCACCCCCTGACATCCTCGCCATGCGAGAAAAGCACTACGGAGAATGTGTGCCAACTTTCGGTCTTTGGGGGCCCTCACACGGCCCCAGGGCCGTCAATAACGACTCAGGAGGAACAGCCGCTAATGGGGAACAGGTGCAAATCTCTGGGGTCCACGTGGTGAAATAATTGCGACGTCGGATGTCTGAGTCGCACCCCTTCCGCCCTCGCCTGTCCTCGGAAAAAGTGAGCTTGCGGTTGATGCCGCGCACCGCCGTGCCTCCTGCAGCGCGTGGGCAGGGGCTTGAGCACCGTCTCCCGGATGGGACCATCTTCGGCCTGTCCCTCCCCCCTCCCCTGGCTCTCCACGAGCATGAACGTCTCTTTTCCCCCAGCGACCATCATGAACTCCGAAAGCGATCCTTGCTCAGACGCGCGACCATCTCGCATTCTAACAAGACGCAGCGACGAACGCTCAAGAAAGGCGCAGGAAGGAAGAAGGGAGGAAAGCGGCCATCGTGCGGAACCTCTCTATTCAGGTGCGTCGAGGTCCTCCGCAATGATCTCGTCGTAGTGGGCCCCGCTCCATGCCATGCGCTGGCCCCTGTCTGGTAACCCCCAGAACGCCCAGTCAGCTCGCGGACGACCGCTTGCCACGGCGTGGGAGCTGGCGGTGTGCCGTCTCAACCCATGCCATGACGGTGTGGGACCTCGTTTCTGCCACCGCGCGAACCATTCAATTTTGAATGATCATCGCCGTCCGGGCTCCGCAGTGCTTGTCACAGTAGAGGAACAGCACAACAAAGTGAATGCGCACAATTTCTTGGAGGTCCGGGCGCATTTCTTGGATCAGCGCTGGACCTCCCTCGCTGGCGCGCTCCGCGCGCCAGGGACGGCGCCGGAAGCGCCGCCAGGGGGGCCCACCGCCGATCCAAAAAATCCGCGAGGAGTTCCTAGTTTACGTTCATGCCGCTCTTTGAATTCGACGCTGGCGCCCGCGCTGCCGCCGTGCCGAACCGGCGCGAATCCACCGCGCGCGCTTGCTCCCCAAATCCCTCGAAGGCAAAGGTTTTACCGTTATTGGTGCTGCGGGGCCGAGGCGGATGCAGGGCCGAAGGGACCAACGACGAGGCAAAGACAAACAGCGACTATCATTGAACCCTGCAACTCTTTATATCTCCTACGCATCCATCGTGACACCTCCTGGCCATGCGGAGCTCTGCGAAACAAAAAAGCCCGATATCCCCGTGCCCCGGAATCAGGCCCTCGGAAACCCTGCCGCCAACTCTTCCGATGCGCATTACCATCTCCGCATGCGATATCGCATGGTCATCGCAATCGCACCACAACCTTTGGAAAGTGTGTATGAACTTTGCCAACGCCACCGAAACTCTTCGAACGACCTGCATAGCAATGATGAGAAATAGAGTAACCATGCATTACACCACCGATGCGTGTGTGTGTGTGTGTGTGTGTGTGCGTGTGACCAAAGGGCCCCGAAACGAGTTTAGGGCAGGATGCCCGCGGAAGGGCGAATCCTCCTCCCCCCGTGCTGCTGCCCAACCCTACACAGTCGGCGGTGCGCCGAGGGGACATGCGCAACGGGGCAAGCCTGCTCGGAGGGTGGCGTGTTCTTTGGTTTGTTTGTTCGCAAGGCTCCATCTGCAGTGACAAGTGGCCGTGGAGAGAGCCACGGACTCAGCAGAGACAGGTGCAGCGACGCCTGAAGTCTGCCATCGGAAGATGGCGTGGCCTCTCAGAAGCAGTCCAGGCCTTCCGAGAAGCCGCCTGCGGCATCGGAGAGGGCTTCGGAACCCGACCAGAAGGCTGGAGTCCTTCTGAGCCTTTCGAGAAAAAAAAAGGCCTGCGCCCTGCACCTCCCCCCACAGGTGCACCGCCGATCAATACATCCACGAATCGAGAATAAGCATACTTATACTACGAACATTGATAAGTATACTACTGCGAATGATAAAGAGGCGAATCACATACAAACAATAATGAGTACTACTATTACGACTACGACTATGAGTGAGAAAACGAAGCAACGATACCAGGAATCATAATAATGATGCTAATGCTCATAATAAGAAAATTAATATCAAGAAAAGAAGGATAATACGAATGATGAAAGGAAGAATTATCATAAACACCATAAACACAAAATGTTGGCGCTCCGTGCGGATTCCTTGGATCTGCGCTGGACTCCCCTCCCTGGCGCGCGGAGCGCGCCAGGGGCGGCGTCGGCAGCGCCGCCGGGGGAGGGGCACAGCGAGGATCCAAGAAATCTGCGCGGAGCGCCACAAGTTTATGTTCATGGCGTTTTTTCTTATTCAAGCGAAGCGCCTGTTGACGAACTCATGCGGCCCACAAGGAGGGCATCGGAGCCCTTGCATGAATTAGGTCGCGCATGTCCCCCCTACAGGCGAATTTTGGATGAACAACAAAAATCCTCTACATACTATCCAACAAAAATCAACACATGCCCAACAACATCCTCCCCTGACTATTCAGGGGGACGTAAGACCCGGGTACGGGGGACTCGGAAATCCCCGACGAGGTCGTCAAAAAAATGACGAGGCCGAGCCTGCATTTTGACGAGGCCTCCCGCTGCAGACATCCCACGAAACTCCTCCTCGTCAAAATCCGAGGCGCGGTCGTCAAAAAACGATGGCGAACCCGAGTCCTGGCAAACCCGGGTCTTACGCTCCCCCGAACCATGCTTGGCCTATGGTTGAACATCCCCCCATGCACAGGGACACGCCCGACGTAACCTTTGCAAGAGAGGCCACGGCACCTCCCGGAGAGGCCGCGGCACCCCACAGGGAGGAGCCCACGAGCGGGCCTCCCTCCACAGGCCCCGGGCGCCTCCCGTGTCAAGGGCTCCTAAGTTCGCGCTTCGCGCTGCGCGAAGCGCGAATAACTTCGCGCTCTCGCGCCGCCCCCCAAAGGGGAGAAGAGGAGGACGAGGAGGAGGAGGAGGAGGAACGAGGACCGCGAAGCGCGAAGCGCGAATAACTTCGCGCCCTCGAGGGAGCCCTCCCGTGCGCACGAGCTAGGAGCGGCCCCTGCCGGAGACCTCGAGAGGCCTCTGCCGGGAGCTCCGAGGCGGCCCCCGGAGGCCGAGGGGCCTCTCACCGCGGTGCTCCGAGGCCTCCAGGGCCTCCGTGGGCCCTCGAAACGACGAGGCTGCTTTTCTACCAGCTCCGCATTGCCGTTTTTTGTTGTCGGTTCCGACGCGGCTTTTTTTTACCGGCTCCGGCTCCGGTTCCAATCCTGGAGCAGCGTTTCTGCCGTTTCCGGCCGGTCGCAGTTTTTCCTGCCACTCTTCAAGAGACACGTTGTCGGAAACTGTTCAAAACGGCCCTGCCGTTTCCGGGGCCCACTAAGTCCAGGGCCCGCGAGGCCCCTCCCCAGAGCTCTGGAATCTCTCCAGCCGCCTGGGCCCCCTCTCCGACCAGCCGTAACTGGGGGAGCTGTGGTCCTTGAACCCCCCTGGGGGAAACCATCGCGTCGACGATCTCTCGAGAGGGGTGTCGAAATCGATGGGCCCCCCAGGGGGGGAAGGACCACAGCTCCCCCAGTTGTGGCTGGCCTGCCTCTACCAGCCCCTGGAGCCTGCCTCCTCGAAGCCGTGCGACCTCCGCCGAAGGCCGTGGGGCCTCTCCCCGAGGCGCCCCCTGAGGCCCGGGCGCCTCTCCCAGGGGCCTCGGGGGCTCCCGAAGACCTCTCCCAGAGCTCTAGGCTCCGCGGCATTCCCCCCGGGGGGCCCTGAAATCCCGAGCGCCTCCCGCTCGGAGGCCACCTCCCCGGCCCTCCGAGCGTCCCCAGCAGGCCCTGAGGCGCCCTGCAGAGGCCGTGAGGCCCTCCCCGGAGACCCTCGGGCCTGTCGCGGGGGCGCTGAAGCTTCTCCCGTACAGGCGCTGTGGCGATTGCGACGCCCACGTGTCATCTTGGCTGATGATGGTAAAGTGCCTGGGAGGAGGTGTTGGCAATACCTCATCGGCTGGAGATCAGGGCAAGGGGATGCTGGGCGCCACTTGCATATACTACCCCTTCCGCAATGAAGGGGACTGACTCGTGAGGGGTGCATGAAGCATGTACAAGCAGTGATCACGACACTGGCATGAATGTTGTGATTGTGTGGGGTCAGTTTTGGGCGCAAGCCCAGAACGTGTGGGAACGAGGCCACTTCAGAGGAGATATAGCCCGCACTAAGACTGGAGCGAGAAAGTGGATGGGAGGGGGTCGAACAAGAACAATTCCTCAGACCAAGAGCCGTCCCTTTCCCCTCCGCCCTCCGCCCTCCCCCCCTCCTCCTCCTCCTCCTCCTCCTCCTCCTCCTCCTCCTCCTCCTCCTCCTCCTCCTCCTCCTCCTCCTCTTCCTCTTCCTCCCTTCTCCCACCTCCTCCCACATCGGCCCCCACCCCCGCAACCCCACCAACGGGTCCACCCGGCCTACGTCGAGGTTCTTGCTCTCCACGTCGCCCACCGACACGAGCTGGGCGAAGCCTGCCGCACAGGAGAACCCGAGGAAGTGAGCTCACGGAGAGAAACAATATACCAGGAAGCTCACCGCCCTCCCCCTCATCCTCGTCGTCGTCGTCGTCGTATTCCTTCCTCCTTATCGAATTGAGCGGATTTCAACACAAATCTATTGCAGCATCAGTGTTAAAACAGACTGACGTATATTGACTGACTTAATTATGCATAGACACAGAGCGCAGCAAATCAAGCTCGGCGGGCGTAGTGGAATGGACATTGGGCGCCAGGCCAGAGATAAAGTAAAGGGAGGCAAGCTCGTAGGTCACAGGGCATACGCTAGCCCTCCTCCTTCTCGTCCTCGTCCTCGTCCTCGTCCTCGTCCTCGTCCTCCTCCTCCTCCTCCTACTCCTCTCTCTGCCCCTCTTCGGAAGCACACGCGGCTGGAATCACCCGACGAGCGTGCGCAGGCCGGGTCCACATCCGGAGGGCCAGCGTGCCCGTCCGCGCGAGGACCGAGCGCCAGAGAGGCACCCCTTTCACCAGCCAGAAGAGGAGCCCTGCAACGGCCCGAGGACCAACGCCATTTGGGAACACGCTGGGCTGGTATTCTTCGTCGCCGGTGCCCCCGAACGAAGGAAGCCCCCGAACAAGCCGTACGTCGGCAACCGCAGCCTGTGCACACTCTTGAGCGCACCTGTCTCAGTGACGCAGGCTGACGGCAGCGCCAGTGATCCTGACGAGTGCCGCTGTTGCCTTGCGCCTGGCACTGAAGCTGGCTCGAAGGCCCTGGACACTCTGCTCGTGCCCCCGTGCTGTCTTTGAACGCGGCCCCTCGCTTGCCAAGCCGCCCTTTTTTCCCCCTCCCGCAGCCGCCCGCCCGTGCCCTTCTCTCTCCCTTCTTGCTGCCGGACAACTCTTCGCGCCTGCCGTCTCCCGGCCCGCTCGACCGCGTGTGCGGACTGCCTCCGCCGCGCTGCGACGAAACAACAACAAAGCCATGTGCCGCACGGCACCCAAACTCCCACTCCCCGAATACTGGGCGGTCCACTTGGGCGTTGCTTAATGGGGGGGTCACAAATGGGGGGGTCAGAAAAGGTCCCCTTTCGTGCCCCTTTCTGGCCCCTCCAGAGCCCCAGGGGGCTCGTTTAGGTACCGTTTGGGTACCTTTTCGGACCACCCGCGACACCCCCCCATTTATGACCCCTCCATTACGCAACGCCCAATCCACGTGCACGCCACGGCACCGGCACTCCTGCGCGCGGGCTGCTCCTCCGAGGTGGACACCGGGTATACGGAGTTGTGCGGGCGGGTGCGTGTGACCCCCCCGGCGCCCGATCTCTTGACCTGCACAAGTCGCCTCCCCGAACGCGGCCCTTCAGCACCAAGCGTGTACGCGTGCATGTGCGGTGCCCGCTGCGCAGGCCCATGACCTGCTCAGCACGACCAGGGGGCGACCAGGGGCGAGGAGAGCGGGGGAAAGCCGAGCGAGGCGAGCGGGGGAGGGCGAGGGGGACAGACGACGGACCTGGCGAGTGGAGCGGACACGAGGGGGAACGTGGGGGGGGGGGGGGGCGACACATCGCCGATGAATCGGCGGCTGGACCCGGGCAGCGAATCCGCACCCTGCTGCGCGGGGTGGGCTGCGAGGCCCCTGCCGGCTATCAGTGGGCGATTGTGGGTCGATGCATGCCCCCCTTGAGCCCATGCCCCCTAACGTTGCCAATGAGGATTGGCGGGGACGAGGAGGGACAGTTTCCTCCCCACCCCAGGGGCGCCGTAGAGCAGACCGCACAGGATGGCCAGCTTCAGCGCCCCCGCGGCAACTGGCTCCAGGAACAGCGTGGGCATGTCGAACATGCACTCGCAGGCGGCCTCCACGCAGCCGCAGACCATCTCGACGGTGTCGTGCATGCAGCACGCCACGATGGTTACACTCACGCCCAGCAACAGGAACACGACCCCGACCGCGTCAGACACGATCACGGCAACGTGGTGGGCGGCGATGTGCTTGAACAACGGCGACAGATGCTGGTGGCCGGTGAGGTCGTGCGCAGTGACAATAAGGCTGACAGCCACAGAAAAAAACACCAGCGCCGTCAGTATTATGATCAAGTAGATCGTGAGCTTCGCCAGCCATCTCAGCATGAGCAAATAAACGAAGCTCATCACAAAGGTTATCACACATATGCCGCAGAGAAGAGGCAAAACGTTTGGGATGTCTTCAGCAAGGTGGCCGAATGAAACCATCAAGATGGAAGCCCAGCTCTTGTCTAGCCACTCGTGGATCTTGACCTGCAAATCGCCCAGAGCCGCCTTCCGTCTCTCGCTATTCTCATCGCCGTCTTCATCCGTAGCGAGGTCTGGAAGGCAGAACGCGCCAGCCAGGGCACTTGTGGGGTAGCTTGCCTGGCCCTTCACCTCCCGTTTGATGACCGTGGTCATCACGATCTCGGGGCTCTCCCCTGTGACCGTCCTCGTCACGTGCGCGTCCGATGGGCAGAATACCACCTCGGAGCCGCTGGGGCACGTCTCGACGCAGATAGGCGCGTCCATGTTCAAGGCAGTCGGGATCCGCGCCACCAATACAGTCTCGTTGCCCTGCTCCTGCGTGATGTCCGTGTAGCTCCCGTCGCCACACCAGTACAGGTATGGCTTGGCCAACACCGCCGGGCCGAAGCCGCACACCTCCCCAGCCCAGTCGATCCCGTGGTGCAGCTTCTGGATGTCTCCGTGGGCGGAGGCGTAGTGCGTCAGCCACCCCATGAGGCCCAGGACCGCGAGGAAGAGGACGAGGCACGCGACGTCGGTGCAGCCCTGCTTCACGATGCCGTCGTGCCCCTCCTGCTCGGCCTCCTGCGTGGCGAGGTCCCCAGCACCTCCGTTGAACGGCGTGCCCTCTTTCGCCCCGGCCTGCTCCTGTCGGGCTGGGCGAAAGGGGGGGATAGCAAAGGGGGGGTCTGAGAATCAGCTCGTGTAGCTGACTCTCCCGGCGCCTCCCGGCGTCGGGAGGCGCTTGTGTATCGAGGAATGGGCCCGGCGGCGGAGCCGAAACCAGCTGCATGCAGCAGATTTCGTAACCCCCCCCTATCCGTCTCCCCCCCTTTCGCTCGGCCCGATCCTGGTCGGCCGCGGGCGGCGGCGCGGAGCCTCCCCCGGCCTGGCCGCCGCCGGAGCTCACGGAGAGGTCTCGCCCGTCGGCGACCAGCGGTGCGCCCGCCGCGCCCTCCTCTCTCCTGGGCACGCGCGGGCCCTGCTTCGCTTGGGGCTGTCACGGCTCCCGCCGCCCCTCGGCTCGGCGCCGGAGCTCCCACGGTGCGCTCCAGGCGCGCCCGGACTTCTGGATGCCCCCGGGCTCTGCGCAGGCCTGTGCTGAGGTGCCTGGGCTTGGTCTGGGTGTGATATGCCTTGCTTCGGCTTGCCTGGCTGGGTCTCCGCGGGTCGATTGGAGAGTTCCCCAGCAAAGCACCCGAATAGCAGCAAAGGTGAATAGGCGGGGCGAGAAGGAGGAGGAGGAGGAGGAGGAGGAGGAGGAGGAGGAGGAGGAGGATAGGAGGAGGAGGAGGGAGGAGAGAGAGAGGAGGAGGAGGAGGGAGGAGGGAGGGGGAGGGAGGGAGGGAGGAGGGAGGGAGAGAGGAGAGGAGGAGGAGGAGGAGGAGGAGGGAGGAGGAGAGGAGAAGGAAGAGGAGGAGGAGGAGAACCAACGTAAACCCAAGAGTCATCAACGACGTTGGAATCCCACCAGCCCTCTGGGCGCAGTTGGTCTAGAGCGTTTCCTTTTCTAGCCTCCTTCCTTTCCCTGCTCGGGAGGTTTACCTCTCCCCCCTTCCTGGGTCTGGACGGGCTCCCCCGCGAGGGGTTATAGCGTCCAAGATGGCCCTAGATAGCTTCAAGAGGGCTTTAGCTAGCCCAAGATGGCCTCCAAGATCGCCCAAGATACCTCAAGACGGCTCAAGATAGCCTGCAACACGCATCCAAGAGGCCTCAAGACGGCCCCAAGACGGTTTCAAGTGCCCTCCGAGCCCTCCAAGGCTTCGCCTAAGAGGCCACAATGAGTTCAAAACCTTTGGAAATACATGTTTTCGGCCATCTCGCTTTTGCGCTTCCGATGGGTTCTTGAGGCGTCAAGATGACTCCACAATTGCCCAACATAGTCCCACGAGAGGCCCAAGAGGGCCACAAGACGGCCCCAAGAGCGCCCCAAGAGCGGTCCAAGAGCAAATCTTTCCCAAACACAATTTCTAGTACGTTGATCATGGCAACCTGTGAAATTCCTACAACTTGTAAAATCGAATGTGCGCGGCGCTAATGTGAGAACCACATTTTCAAAGGAACCACCCTCAATCCGTGAAACACTTGCAACTGTTTAAAGCGAATGTGCGGGGCGCCAAGGCGAGAGCCACATTTTGAAAATGGCCCGCCCTCCATCTGTGAAGCTGCTGCATATATGTATCTGTATATTTCTATGCATCTATGTATATATGTATTATTTATATACCTATATATAACGAGTGTGCGGGGCGCCAAGGCGAGAGTCACATATTGAAAACGGCCCACCCTCCATCTGTGAAGCTGCTGCATTTATGTATCTGTATATGTCTGTATATATATATGTATATATGTATATGTACTACTTACATAGATATAGATTTAACGATTGTGCGCGGCGCTAGAGCGACAACCACACTTTGAAAACGACCCGCCATCCATCTGTGAAGCTGTTGCTAATTGTTAAGGCTTCAGGGTCATACGTGATGCGGAAGTCTCAGGCGAAACGCCTGGCCCGCCCTAAAAACTGGCCTGGGGGTGCGAGAGGCAGAAATTACTCATAACTAGGGAGGAAGGGGATGAGGAGGGGGAAGAGGAGGAGGAGGAGGAGGAGGAGGAGGAGGAGGAGGAGGACGAAGAGGAGGAGGAAGAGGAGAATGATGAGGAGGAGGAGGAGGAGGACGAGGCGGATGATGCGATGATGATGATGATGATGATGATGATGATGATGATGATGATGATGATGATCATGATCATGATGATCATGATGATGATGATGATGATGATGATGATGATGATGATGATGATGATGATGATGATGATGATATGATGATGATGATGATGATGATGATGATGATGATGATGATGATGATGATGTGGAGGAGGAGGAGGAGGAGGAGGAGGAGGAGGAGGAGGTCGGCTATATGGGGGCAGGGGTGAGTGCATGGCCATGTGCACCCTAGTTTTTCCTCGCGCAAGGAATCGTCTACCACACGTGCAGTCGGCATTGGGGCGAGGGCACTATTTCTGAACACGCTGCGAGGGAGTCTCGAGCGAACTGGATGCCAGACCGTGCCAGACCGGGCGGCCCAGGGCTCCTCCCCCCCCCCTGTGCGACTCTTCCGTGGTCCTTTCTTTTCACATAGAGAATATTTCCTTTAATTTAGCAAGTACCAGCCTCTAGCGAATCGACTAAACGCAACAGTGACCCTGGGTAAGAGTGACTTTTGGTGCGCAGCTTTTTGGGGACCGCGGGGGGACCAAACACCAGCGCGCAAGACGCTACTATCGCATCGCGTTTGGCGATCGGGGGAACCCATTTGGCCCGCAGCAGAGGTCACTCCTGCGAAAGGTCACTCTTACGTCTAGTCGAGCGAAACGCTGTGCAGGAACGAGTCGCCAGGCCCTTGGAGACTTGTGCTGCCTGCGCTGGGCCCTGGCCAGGCCGCCACCGGGCCAGGGCTTCGCTCCCGGCGCGGCCAGGGGGGCGTGGTCCCGGGCGCCGGGCAGGGCAGGATCGCTGCCGGCGGGGGGGGCAGAAAAGGAGATACAACGCCACACGCCTAAGGGGTGCATCGGCGGCGAATGGACTAGTTTGGTTGTTTCTCCCTATGCAGTCCATGCGCGAATGGATGAGTGTTCTGCATTTCTGAGTTCCTGAGCTGCTCGCTTATCATAGACAGTGGCGGCTTGGAGATGTAGTTGCTCTGCCCACTCCAGCAGGCGGGGGATGAGGCGGCAGGGTCAATCAGCATCGAATCGGAAATCGAGATCGACTCGGAATTTGCGTCGGATCGGACTGCGTCTCGCAGTCGAATCGAACAGGTCGCGCCAGGATCAACAGCGCCATGCACGCATCGGGCCACACCGAATCGTTGGCATCGAACCGGGCCAGACTGGCCGACACCGAGACCGAGCAGGGTCGACAGCGGACCGAGGCTGGCCCCGAGCAAGAGCGGGAGGAGCAGGAGGACAGCAGCCGCTGCTCCCGCGTCTCCTCTTCTTCTTCTTCCTGAACTTGTCGGTGTTCATCGCCGCCCGCTCCCGCGCCCGAGCATGGCGGCAGAGGGGGGCCGCCGGAAGGCCGGGTCCGCGCAGCAACTCTCCAGCGCTCGAGGGGCGCAGAAGGAGCCGGCACTGTGCCCCCGGGGAGGGGAAGGCGGGGAGGGTTCGCAGGCATGATGGCCAAGCATCCTGGGGGGCGCGCGGGCTGGGCTGGTAGGCGAGGGCGCTCGCTCGCGGTTCCTGCCAGGAGGCGCATACAGGACAAATCACGAGTCTGGGAAGGAAAGCTTACGAATCGTCGGCAGGAGTTGCCGGTGGGGAGCTCAGACCAGGTGGGCGAGGCCGTGGCCTCAGGAACCTGGTGTTTGAACAACATGCAATGCGAGATGCAAACAAATTAATGGAGAAGGGAGGGGGAGAGGTCCTTGGAGTCGGTGTCGGCGTGGGGCTCGGCATGCTTGGGCGTGTCTGTGTGGGAGGGAGAGGGAGGGAGAGGCAGGATTAGGGGGAGAATTCAGTGTCCCTCCCCACACCATCGCAAGCGCATCAGCAGGTTGCCCTCTTCTACGCGGCCCTGGGGCGTAAAGCCCACCCCCGAGCCCTCGGCGCGAGCCGCGCGTTCGGTGCGCACTGAGGTGTCAACAGCTCCCCCCAACCTCTCGGCGACAGCCGAGCGTTCAGTGCACACAGTGGTGCCAGTGCTCTACACAGCAATTTTGACAAGCTGCGCTGCTTGCAGCATTGTGTCGGGCATGTCCTCGTAGCGGACTTTGGACGAAACAAAATAAATAGTAACACAATGTTCGGAAATAGCAACAAATAACAGAAAAATCGTCCCCATCCGATTTGTTTGACTATTTACCTAACAGCGAAGACTGATAGGTTTCTAGTGGGGTCAAAAGAGAGCATCATGACTCCTCAGGGGGGTCGGGGCGGGACCCGGGGCGGCTGCCGTCGAAGCCCAAATCGCTTGGGACATCCTCGCAAAATCGCTCTTGGCGCTGCTAGAACTCCATTCCCGGCGTACATTTTGGATGCCCGGAACCAACTGTAGGCCACTTCGTGCTCTTCGACTTCCCAGAACTCCATTCCCGGGCCACATTTTGGATGCCCGGAGCCAACTGTAGGCCACTTCGTGGTCTTCGAGTTCCCAGAACTCCATTCCCGGGCCACATTTTGAATGCCCGGAGCCAACTGTAGGCCACTTCGTGCTCTTCGAGTTCCCAGAACTCCATTCCCGGGCCACATTTTGAATGCCCGGAGCCAACTGTAGGCCACTTCGTGCTCTTCGAGTTCCCAGAACTCCATTCCTGGGCATGATTTTGAATGCCCGGAGCCAACTGTAGGCCAGAGCCACTTCGTGTTCTTCTAGTTCCCACAACTCCATTCCTGGGCCACATTTTGAATGCTGAGGCAGGCTGATGCTGCGGCCGAGGCAGGCTGAGGCTGAGGCACGCTGAGGCTGAGGCCGAGGCTGAAGGCAGACTGAGGCTGAGGCTGAAGCAGACTGAGGCTGAGGCTGAGGCAGGCTGAGGCTGAGGC